AGCATTTATAACTTTCAACATCTTTTTCCTTTTCTTGCAGAAAAAAGTCATCATGGTCATGAAAAAAACTAGATCAAAGGGCCAGATAATGATCATATTTGTTCTAGTATTTTTCACATAGGATAGGAGAAGTGGAATGAACTAGTTTTATTCGTTCATACATGGAAAAAATGTTATATTTAGAAATTATCAGGAAACTTCATTGAAAACAGAGAAGAAGCAATAGTGTGAAGCATATAGTGTTAAATTTGAAATTGTCATGCAAAGGAAAACCCCCTTGAAAGTTCTAGCTGAATTTTTAACTTGGTCTGACTAGGATTCAAATTTTTTATTTAATTTTTATCTTTAGACAAATTTCGCTAAAATTTAGTATAGGACTGGATTAATAAATTTCGCTAAAATTTATTTCTACATTGGCTTGCAATCCCTTTGCAAGGTAAAATGTTAGGCTCAGATACTAATCCAATAATACCAATTTACTCAGTGTCATAAGAATAACTAGAATACGTTTAGTTTATTTATTTATTTTTTTAGATCTGTTAGCTCCATCTTAAATCAGAGATGATCCTTGTGTTTGTTCCTTCTAAAAATTTTATGGACTTGCTGTTTGACTAGTTTTAGTTTTATTCTTTTCATTTTACGCATTCTATTTCTTAGTAAATATGTTTAGTTGCTAAATTTTAAAATAATAAGTTAAATAAAAATTCTTAAGATTTGAATATAGTTCTAATTAAATTTTTGTCTCATGCTATGCATGGGAAACAGCTACCGACATCTTCAACGCTGCAAAGCTAATGGAAGAATTTATATGAAAAAAACTTACGTCTAATTAGTTAGTTAGTAAGGCAATAGTTTAATAACTAGTTGGGAAGGTAATAGTTTACTAAGACAGTGACCAATAATAGTTTGAGAGGAGGATTAGTCACAATAAAACATAACCCAAACTCCTACGAGAGCTGGTAGCTGGGGAATTTTCACAATGGTAAAAGCTTGGGGAAGCAATATTGTAACGAGATCGAAGGCTTTTGGGTCATGAACTTTTTTTTTAAGAGAAAGAAATAATGATAGTATATGAAGAAGAAGCATCATCTAAATTTGTGCCAATAGTCGCTGTATGTACTATAAAGAGTACAATGTCTATAGATAGTTTTTAAAATTTTTTGTCAAATATTAGGGTTTAATCTTGAATAGATAGTAAAAAATACCAAGTTAGAGTATGGTAAAAGTTAAGAAATTTTTTGGTAGAATGGTGAAATACATAGAGATAAAAAAGAATGAGGGAATTAAGGGAGAGAATGATATTAGATAACCAAATAACATTACCTATAAATGAGGGATACTAGGAGTTACGCACATTCACCTGCCTAAAACTATAGTTAGTAGGTTATATTTCCTACTAGAAGAGTACGAACAATTTTAATAAAATTTTTAATTAATTTTAGAATCTTCATTTTAGCAAAAATTTTAATTCAATGTTTAAATTTAACACAGTTTCATATTAAAAAGTTAATATTAATTTATAGTATTGTAATTTGGTATTATATTTAATTAATATTATTAACTTGAGGTGTTAGTTAAATGTATTAGTTGTATTATAATTTATATTAAATAGGAAATATAATTTTTTTTTAAAATAAATAGTTAATCTTTTCTAAATATATAAGAATTGAATTTAATAAATTTTATTTAAAAAAGAACTCATTTTATTTTTTTTTTTAAAAAGATCTAATGTATTAAACTTAAAACATTTTGTAACTTAGTAAATATTAAAATTTTACTTAAAAAGTAATGACTAAGTTTGTTTGACGAGTCATTTATTTGTAAGAGGTATATAAATAAAGAGTTTAAAATTCTACTCAAATAAGTTTTTAATTATATAGTTTAATTATTAATTAGATAATTAGTGAAATCGTTCGTGGTCTGAATAAAGCCTCAAAAGTGTTAGAAGGGAAAATGAGACATGCCACATTAAAGTTATGAATATTCTTAGATAAAATAAAAATAAATTATTATTGGTCTAATAATCAACATGTTAAAAGATAATTACTTCATATAATCTTATAAAATTAAATCCTTATCCAAAGAAAAATGTTAATTAATTAATATTAAGGGATAATTATCTAATCATTAAGCTGTCTATAATTAATATATAATAACTGACGAGCTTTAAATGGCAGAAAATGAATGTTAAATCTTCTCACTGGATACACCCAAGATTTATTTCCCACCAAATCTTCTCTCTTCCTCTGTTGTTCGTTTGCTTGTTCACCGCTCAAAAGCTATGAAAAACATATAAATAATCAGTTACTGATTCTCACGTTTCACATTCTTCACATCTCTTTCCTTGAATCTGACTCAAACCCTTCCAAATCTCTGAAACGCCCATATCAAATCCTTTTTCTTTTCCTTTTCTTTTTTAGTTTTTTTTTTTTTATATTGCAAGAAAACGCCCTTTTTCATTGCCAGCCATGACTGAGGTCCTCCACTCCCCATCCCATTTTCCTTCATCTGCAAGCACCACTCCTCCTTCTTCCTCTTCTCGCTCCTCACCTTGTGCGCCCCGCTCCAATGGTTCCTGCCTTCATCTTACCATCCCCCATCGCCATAGCCAACAGATTTCGCGTATAACAGGAGAAGAAGTTAACCCTGAGGATTGTAGAGTTACTGGGCTCTCTTTGTTGGCTCTTTTCGTCACCCTTTTAAGGAAATCTCTGGTTGCTTGCAAGAGTGACAGGAGGGAGCTCTGCCGGATGGAGATCGGCTGGCCAACCAACGTGCGCCATGTGGCTCATGTCACCTTCGACCGGTTCAATGGGTTCCTGGGCTTGCCTGTTGAGTTTGAGCCTGACGTGCCCAGAAGGGCCCCCAGTGCAAGGTACATTGTTCGCTTCCTTCACTTTCTTCAATGGAGTTTGGGTTTTGATTGATTATCATATGAATTGAGTGTTTGGAGAGTGATGAATTCTCTTTTATTATGATGAGAATGTCAAATTCTTGCGAGGTTTGAATTGTTCTGTTGACAAAGTGGTGGGTTTTGGTTAATGGAATTCTTGGAACTGAATTGCGAAGCTTGCTGCTTTTATTTCATCTCGGTTGTTAAATTGGCTTTTCAAATTTCTGAAACTAAGAAAAAATAGTCAAGTATGTCTCTTTTGCAATTAGTTTGTTTTTTATTTGTTGCAGTGATTTCTGTTAAGGATTTAAAATATGAAATTTATGAAAATCTGATTACAAGCATTGCCGTGCCTTTTCTTTCTTTCTGTTTTTCCCCCTTCTTTTACTTGATTGTAATGCAATTCCTACAACAGTATGTTACATTAAATTGCCTGTCGAGTTTTTAGTCACACAATTTTTCAATTGTAAGGTTGCTGAGGGTGCCTGTGGTGCCATTGAAGGCTTTGTTGAGGGATAACTTAAACAAAATTCTGTAGTTTTTGTGTGTTAATTAGGCAGTGCAACTCTTGAAATGTTGAATTTATGAGCTTGCTCCTAGTATTTGATCAAATCTATAAATTCAGAAATTTGCCAAGTTGTGCTATCTGAATTTCCTTGGGTTGGGGGGTAGGGTTTGATGGTCATGCCTTAGCCTTCTTCTGACATGTCAAACAAACTACCAGGACTTGCATCTTCTTTTTTCACCTTGGTTAGGGAAGAAGAAGGAAACTGAAATCTGAGTTAATTTGTATTCTGTTGGTTATCTACATGCGTGTTTCCTCCTAATCAATAGATTAATTAGTGCAATAAATTATGTCTGCATTATCAGTATCCAGTTCCATCATTTCCCAGTCACTGCATGGCCTATATTTTTCTGGTCTTCTCTATTCTATGGTTCTCCGTTATCTGTCAGAGTATTATTTTGGTCACTACAGGGAGCAAGTGATTCAAAGTGCCTCACTAAGGCAATAAAAAAAACAATTCAATAAAACTTTTATTACCCCTATTTGCAATTATCTGTTTATTCATCACTTAATTGTAGTATTTTTCCACAAACCTTTTTTCTTTTATGGAGTCTGTTTTGCTTGCCATTCATCAGTGCATGGAGTATTATTTTGGTCATTACAGGGTGCAAATGTATGATTCAACAAATTTGCTACCCCCTAGTATATGTTATTTATCACTAGAAGGCGACTTTTCGCTCTCAGAGCTTCTACTCAGAGTCCGTTTTCACCAATTTTTTTTTATAGATGTCTTTACATCGAATTTGATGCTTTTCTATCATATTCATCCGTTAAGTTCAATCTGTATTAGATTTTGACCTTTTTCTTGTTTTCCAACATAACAAGATGCAGGGCTAAGTAGTGGTTTCTGAACAAATATAAAAATCTTAGATCAACTTTCTGATGCTCATTTTTCCATTTTCTCTTTTTTTTCCCCCCAGCTATCTTTCCTTTTCAAGGTATTAGAATAAATTACTTAAGATTTTTCTAGCATTTTTCAGGAGAAGGAGCTCTAGTGTTTTTTATCACTAACGTTCTTCACCAGCTTCATGGAACTTGAATTTATCAATACCATTTATGGGTTTTCCATCAAAAGCATACATTTAAGGGTCATTATTATCATGTTTGTTTTATCATGTAATAATGACTGGGAACTGCTTTACTAAATCATACTTTTTTTTTGTTTTCTGGAAATTTCTGTTACATACTGATTACAGGATAGACAATATATGGTAAACTAGAATGGTTTTCCAATTAAACGTCATGCCTTAATTAAAACTAAGCTATCACGCTACTAAAAGTATAGGAATAGTGGGTACGTGAGTACCAGTGTAATTAGTGGTGGCATTTTCTATTGCCATGTCAAATTTGATGTTCCAACCACTGTTAAGAATGGAAAAAGATGATGCCTTGCTCTTCCTATGCGTGTTTTTGTTTGCATGCATGGTAACAACTATCTGTGCACCCTGAAACTGATCTATGTATAAGAGTTAGAGTTGCTGCTGGTGACAACTTGGATTTTGTTAAGAAACTTGCTTGAGTTATTTCACTCAATTTTCCCCCTTTCTCATTAACACTCAATTTCTCTTTTAGTGGGAATAGCTTGAGCTATTAGAGATTTTTTCTTCTTCCTAAGTGAGATCATTTAGCCACCAAGTATATGATGCTTTGTGAAATGTGTGTGCATGTGCACTTTTCAGGCTTCATGTTTGTCTATACTGTGGAATTCTGAACACTACTATGGCTTTGCATACTCATAAACAGTCTCATGATGCATTGGCTCTGATCCTGGCAGTTGTGTTAACATTAAGTGCTAATTATGAGAATGCCTGAGCTAGAAATAGACTAAACTGACTTAGTTTTCATGATGATTTAACCTACAAAATTAACAAGATAAGCAAGCAAATGATGAAAATCTTTTTCTGGTTTATATTTTTAACTGGAAATATCAATATAGTGTGCTGCCATCTATAAATCACCTTCCAACTATTTCTAATTTGGTGATTTAACTAACTTGTGAGATCAGGGGAATAACATTTCACTAATTTATGAGGGGAAAGAGTTTTGAAGATTTCAGAGCTTTTGTTGCAGCTTCAGGATGGGTATTGAAGACCTTTCTTGCCGCTCAATGAATTTTGCTAAATAGATGCAACACAGATATATGAACTAGTAAATAATGGACTAGGGCCTAGGTTGTAACTGAATTTGGGAAGAATTCTGTTTCAGCAATGAGTTGTTTTGTAACTGAATTTGATTGTTATTTCTCATTTTCTCATTTTTTATTTGATGTTTTCTCTTGTAGTGCAACTGTCTTTGGGGTTTCCACAGAATCCATGCAATTATCATATGACTCCAGAGGGAACAGTGTTCCCACAATTCTATTGCTAATGCAAAGACACTTGTATGCTCAAGGAGGTTTGCAGGTGTGTTTCTAATTTTCTTCCAGTTTCCTCTTTCTTGTCATTACGGTGGCATCAGGTGGGAAAATAGAACAAAGTTTTTGTTATCTTAACTTATTGTCCTAAATTTGTGAATGGAGCTAATTCTGGCCCTGATTGCTTGCAAAGGCCCTTGTATGATAAAGGAGTTTTACAGGCATGTTATTATTTTCTTCTAATTTCCTCCTTTTTCATCATTAGGATCACAACAGATAGGAAAATGAATAGAGTTTCGGTTATCTAATTTCTTGTCCTAAATTTTTTTTTGACTCATGATTGCTCGATTTCAATTTGCCTTAATCTCAATGATTCTTTTGACTCGACCAAATTGTTGATTTCCTAATTGAACAGGCAGAAGGTATTTTCAGAATTAATGCAGAAAACAGTCAAGAAGAGTTTGTAAGGGATCAATTAAATAGAGGAGTTGTACCAGAAGGCATTGATATACATTGTTTAGCAGGACTTATCAAGGTATAGAAATGCAATCTAGTTTCATCAGTTTCTTTTACCTTACTATTTTTTTGTATGTTATGTTTATGACCTAGAGGGTTATCCATCCATTGCACTGAGTAAAAGTTGGCCATTTTCAATCTCTCGTGTATAAATTTTATCCTGACAATCACCTGGTGGAGCTCGCCTAATGGATAGTTAATGCTTATCATCATTGCAACGAACTATGTGAATTTGTTATTAAATAACAAAGAATTCATCGAAAGAAAACATATACAGTTATAGATTACTAAACAGTATTGACTAAAAATTTTCGGTCATGATTCACTAGTCTGAAGCCCATTACTGATGCACATGAAATCTGTCTTCCACTCCCAGATCCCACAAGTGGGATTCTGGGGGGTATGATCTTGAAATTTTCCTATATTCTGCACTGTTTCTCTTAAAACTCTAACCCCAGTTGCCCTTAGTTAGAAAGGCAGTACCTTTCTGTTTGCATGTTTTATGGTAATACTTTACCCACATACTTCCTCTGTTCACATACTTTCTTTTGCAAGCAAACTGTTGAAGGAAATTTGACTTAGAGATGGTTTGATGTGCCTAACACAATCCATTTCTTGCACAATTTTGTCAAGCCTTTGTCCCTTATTTCTTTCTTCCAAACTAGAAGAAATTCAAGAGTCCTCTCATTTTACAGATTAAATAAAAACCAAAAGAACTGAATCTAACAGTCATATACAGAAGATTTGTTTTCCCAGATTATAAAGACATTCAAATTGACTTATCTATTTCTGGCTTAATTGGGAAATAAATCAATTAAACTGCTTTTAGTCTTGAAGTCAATTGCAGTCTTAATGGTGAACGTATATGAAAAATCTGTGTTGTTGACGATGTTCCGGTGTGAAGGAAATATCTTATGTGAATAACTTTTTGTCGCCCTTGAATTCCCTCCAGTCATTTGGAGTACTAGTTATTTCTCCTGTACCTTACTAAAGAGAGGTAAGAAGATTTTTCTGTCGTGATTGACATTATATTGATCCAAGCTACTCACTGGATACGAGAAACTTCAAACTTCTCAATTATAATCGATTGGTTATTATTACAGTTGATTGGTTATTGTTAACTGTACGGCATTTTGGTTTTTATTTCCTTCTAAAACTATCTTTTTGAACTTCAGGTAATTGTGTCTTCACATGATCTGGGGTTGATGTATGTAAATTATAGAATGCATGCATTTGCTGCCTGAGAAATGCATTTAACTGTCATTGCTTTGGTTCAAACTCTGGGGTCTTGGCTTCTCATCCCAAATTATGACAATGAACTTGATGTACATTTCAGGCTTGGTTCAGAGAACTCCCAACTGGGGTCCTGGATTCGTTATCACCCGAGCAGGTAATGCAATGCGAGACAGAAGAGGACTGCACTGCACTTGTGAATCTTCTATCCCCGACAGAAGCATCTCTACTGGATTGGGCCATCAATCTGATGGCTGATGTTGTTCAGCAAGAACATCTCAACAAAATGAATGCACGTAACATTGCTATGGTTTTTGCACCAAACATGACTCAAGTGAGTTTGCATGGCTTTTTTATTTTCCGATTGTCCAGGTCATTTTGTCTGAAACTGCATTTTGCAATTTTCTTTTGAATCGAGAAAGGACTCTGACACAAGTGTGAGAGTTTTAGATTGCACACAGATTGTCCATCTCCTGATTAGGTGAATATTTAGGGTTCAATGGAGACCCTTTCGTGTTACATGTCAATGCTCACAACTCCTGTATTTTGTAACGTAATATTGCAGCAAGTTTATCTGGTGGAAACTCACCTGCCTTCTTAATGATTCTTGAAGCTGTTTCTCTTCATCTCCACTACCAGTCATTCAAATGATTATCTCTTGATGAATGTTACTTTCTTAGTCTCTTAAGAAAATGATTTCATGGTTTCTTCCTTTGGTTACAGATGGCAGATCCTTTGACTGCACTGATGTATGCAGTCCAAGTGATGAACTTTCTCAAGACACTTATCTTAAGGGCAATGCGAGAACGACAAGATTCTGTTCTGGCATCCCATTTTGAGCCCCCTGATGACAGTGAGGACCAAAGCCCTTCACAGTCTTGTATCCAATATACTGAAAGAGATAATGAAGAGATAGAACATGTTTTTGTTGATGGAGTACCTGCCATAGAAGCTGTTTCTTACTCTCTTCCTAACAGTAGTACAGGCAATGAAGAGGTACCTTTCACTGTAACCTCTGGTGTAAAGCAGATGGTTGATGGAGATCAGTCAATGGAAAATCCAGATGAAGTTGGCGACACCTTTGGCAAAGTAGGTACGGATGTAAATGAAATGAAAGAAGCTAGTAAAGGAACCTTCATAAATAACAAGTTTGGTCAATCAAGTGATTCAGGTCTCAAACAGGGAAACAAAAAATTCAGTTTACAGCCACCTATGCTTTGCATTCCAGTGCCGGTTGAGAAAGCCAAAAGAATTCGCAATTTAAGCCGTATAAATTCTCGAATTGAGCGGATTGAAGCTTGGCGATGATGATGACTACGACAAGGTGACTGTCTGTGTAAGTTTGATCTGGAAGTGAGGAGAACTTTCGTGGAGTTTTCCTGTTTGTTTCTGTGTGCTGAGTGGTTTTTGCTTAACCTCTTCTAAATCCTTAACATGACGTAAAATTATCTGCTCTTCAGAAGAGTGCCATCTGTTGTCATTAATTTTGGCGTTTGATGTTTGCTCCTGTGTTTATTTCTTCTTTTTCTTTCTTTACTTGTCATTCTTCTATGGCTAACTATCATTTATGAGCTTTTTTGATTCTGGGTTCCTTTGAAACCCCTAATAGCCTTTATTCGTTGTGACATGTCAAAAGAGAGCTTTTTTTTTTTTTTTTTTTGGGGGGGGGGTGTCTCTTGCCGAAACATCTTACCTTTTAAAATTTATTTACTAATTTCAACAGACATTGGTATATTATTTAGAGTTTATAAATCAAATAAAAGTATGCTTAAATTGCAGTTGATTATTTGTTAAAAATTCATTTTTCACAAACTTAAAAAAAGGGAAAGAATAAAAAGAAAACAAAAGCAAAAGAAGAGGCACAATCTGTGAAAATTGAGTGGTTTGATTGATTGTGAGAGAAGAATAAATATCAGAACATTGTGATACAAGCAAGCTACTTTCCTGTGGTTGTTTCTGTTTCTTTTAATGAATATGAATAATTTATTAATACAAATATTATCTCCATTATTATTATTGATTTTTTATTTTTTCTAATATTCAAATATGAATTAATTATTTTATTAAAAATTAAATTTGTAATAAGTAATAAATTTCGGAATAATTTGTCTCTAAAGAAAAGAAATTATTATTTTTGGATGTATTTTACTGTTTGTTTGCAGATTAATAATTACTTGAATTAGCTACATGGGAAAGAAGTGAAAAAGAAGAGAAATGAAAAGGCACAATCCTCAACTTATCATTTTCCCCCCACTGTTCTCTAAAAACACCCCTTGGCCAAGAAAATTAAAACAAGAAACTAATTTTCTTCTTCTTCTTCTTCTTCTTCTTCTTCCTCTTCCTCTTCTTCTTCTTCTTCTTCTTCTTCTTCTTCTCCTTCTTCTTCAAGAATATCTTCTTTAGGTTGCAGAAAATGCAGCTTCAAACGCCCATCTTCTCTACGTGCATGCAAGAATTCATGGGTAGGAATCTTGATCTCCTTGAGGATAAACCTGCCATCTTGACGATAAGACTGAAAGGCCACACATGGCTTGCCACTCTTCCCTATACAAGAAATTGGAGGAGGAAACTCACCTCCGCTTATTGATCTTGACCTAATTCTATGATTATTATTTTCACCATATAAAGTCGATTGCTTCTTGTTATAGTTCCCACTAAACGTTGTCGTTTTCTCCTTCTCCTCGTAAGTACTTTGACTCCTGATCAAATCCTCCACATCGTCAGAGCTTTCAAAACCCAGTCCCTCAGTGCAGAGCTGCAAATTCTCGCGCTTCTTGTCACGGCAGCCATGTGGGGAAGTTGTAATCTTTTCGCCTTCATCATGGATGTTCTTAATTTTGTGTTCAGAGGTGGAGGAAGAAGAAGAAGAAGAAGAAGAAGAAGAAGAAGAAGAAGAAGATTGATGGGAGGAGGATTGTTTGAAATAGAGCTCGCCAAAGATCTCAGTGAAGGAAGAGTGCTGATCGACAGAGTCCAAGGCCTTGATCTGGTGCCATGGCGAGAGGGATTCGAGGAGCGTGGGAGTTTCTGGCAATGGATTTTCGAAGATGTGGCGGAGGCTTCCACAGGTTGCCATAAATAGAAATAGAAGAAGAGCTTAAAGAAGAAGAAGAAGAAGAAGAAGAAGAAGAAGAAGAAGAAGAAGAAGAAGAAGAAGAAGAAGAGATGGGTTGAAAAAATCAATAGGGAAAGGGAAGGCTTTTAATTAGGAAACAAGAGATGGGTGGTTAATATAGAGAGAGAGGCAGGCAACAAGAGCCAGGTCCCAGTTTCCAATTTTGGTGGTCATTAATTATTATATTGCATATTTTCTACAATTTAATTTTAATTTTACAAAGACTGTTAATTTAGTCTAACTTCCAGATACACAGCCTTGAGTTTTTCACTGATCTCTGATTTATATTTAAATATATATATATATATATATATGGAATTCCAAAATGTGCTTTGATGGGTTCATCAAATTTTAGGCCCTTTA